AGGGGCTCGATCCCAGGACCCCGGGATCATGACCTGAGCCGAAGGCAGACGCTTAACCAACTGAGCCACCCAGGCGCCCCAAGAAATCATATTATAAGAATCACCATCTCAGAATCTGCTTCTAGGGAATCTGACCCAAGACAATCTGGATTGAAAATAGCCCCTTACTTGCTAATCTATTTTCACAAAATGTTACTTTTTGTGCATCAGTTTCTGTCTTCCAACCTTGAATCAGATGTCATTTGACTAACATCCCCCCTCCCCATCACACACACACACACACACACACACACACACACACACACTCTGAGTTACTTTTTTCTTGATGAAGTCATCCAAAAAAAAAAAAAAATCTTAATCTTTTCTTTCATCCACTTGGATATTAAGGTAAGACATTTACAGACTCTGGTTTCCCTGGGCCTCTTTCAAGATGTCTCCTTGTGTTCTGAGTCTTTCCTTAGCTGCCCTGTCCCTCCTAGCACAGGACAGGAGGAGATGCGAGGGAAGGAGAGATTGGTCCTGTCTCTCTACGCCACTCTCTCTGCCCACCTCATCGATACGGTAGCTATAATTCTCAAAAGAAGGGTCCTGCGATCCCAGGAAGTCTTTAAATTAGTCAAGACCGGTCCAATCAGACTCTAAGCAAACACAGCCTTCACTCAACTGCTGTCTACCGTATCTGTGTTCACATATGTCTGCCTCTGGTCTAAATACGTCTACTTGCAATCGTTAATAACATAAATCCAAACTTCATGTCTTAATCAAGACCCAAACTCACAGAATTCTGGCAAGATCTTTTGGAATCAGGGAGGTTGTTTACAAGAACTTTGAAAATGTTTGAGAAGCCCAAAGTTTTGCTCTTTTTACTGACTGACCGTTTTGTGCAGAGCTGGAGAGATGGCAGCGCAGGCCCCTCCCACCAGGACGCCAGGGCAGCCCCTCCTGCTGCGGGCGTGGCCGCATCCCCAGAGCCAGGAATCCTTTTTCCGTTCGCTACCGCCTAATTTGCCAGTAAGCCCTTTGCTCCTCGTTCTGGTCCCTTACTACCTGGAGGCACATCTCCAGCAGCAAATAAACCAGGGCAGGAAAAACAGGTTCAAGACATTTCCATAATTCTATTTGTTGATCACTTTAAGAGTCAAATTATGTTTGAAAAATTTTTAAATCATTACCTGTAGATTCGATTCGATCTTATAGTCAATGCTGTCCAACAAACATTAAAATGCAAGCCACTTGTAATCTTAAAATGTCCAGTTGCCTCATTAAAATAAGTAAAGAGGGGCACCTGGGTGGCTCAGACGGTTAAGCGTCCGACTCTTGATTTCGGTTCAGGTCATGATCTCTGGGTCGTGAGATCGAGGCGACTCCCTGCTGGGTGTGGAACTTTCTTAAGATTCTCTCTCTCCTCCCTCCGCCCCTCCCTCCCTACCCCACCCCAACCCCGCCCCTGCACATGCGCACTTTCTCTTGCTAAAAAACGAAAACAGGTGAAATTAATTTCAGTGATATATTTTGTTTAATCCAGTGTATTCAAAATATTACCATTCCAATGTGGAATCAACATTAAAAACCGAGATGTTTTACATTCTTATTTTGCATTAAATCAAAATCTGGTGTCGGTTTTACACTGAACACCACATCTCAACGGGACCAGCCACATGCTGCGGCGCTCTGCGGCTACCGGTGGCCACGGGCTGCTGTACCGGCCAGGATGGCTGCAGCTTTCCCCCTCCTAGATGCCTCCCCTTCATGGGGTAAACCGTGAGGGTCTTTAGGAAAGCACTAGGTGGAAGGCATTATGATTCACCAACTTCAGTAATTTCCAGCCCCTCTATGAGTCACTAGAAATGTCACCTTGGAGGAGCCAGAGATGGAGGAGCTCAGGAGTCTGAGATGCCGGCCATCTCCTTCCTTGCCCACTCTTGTGGGTATCCTGGCACCACTGAACACACACACTCAAGACTCCCATGCAACCTGCCCACCCCCAGGCTGCAGTGTGCAGTCTGTGCCAGGCCTGAGTGCCCCCTCACCTCACCTTCTTGCAGGGCAAGCAGGCTTCCAGAAACTGGAATGGGGCAGGCTGGTGAGGCCCCAGCCTCAGGGAGAAACCTGAGTGAGGAAGGCACTGGGAGGCAAAGGGGACGAGAAGGGGACTGACAAAATGGAAGACCATGAACTCTAGCACCAGCCGGTCCGGTTCCCAGCTCCACCACCTATGGTTATCTGACCTCTCTGAGCCACGTCTCCTCATCCGTTACGTGGGGCTCGCTGACTCCTTCGGGTTGAGACAGCAGCCAAAGTGCTGAGGGCCTGGCATGGAGGAAAGTGACCACTCGTGGCTTGCTGCCATCTGAAGAAGCTGTGTCACCCTCTGCAGGGACTCCCAGCCTCTGCCAAGCCACCCCCCTCACTTGCTAACTCTTCTTGTCCCTAAGAGGACACTGCCAACACCCTGCCCCCACCCCTGAGCCTTTCACTGGGTCACCTCAGTTCCAGCAAAGTCAGTGGCTTCCTACATCTCTCTGCTTGAGGAGATTCCCCAGGAAACACCAGAGATCTGCAAGGAGCTGGGGGGAGGAGCTGCCTAGGAAATGAGGGTCCCAGGATGGACCCCTATCAATGAGGGACAGGAATTACTGGATAAATACCCCAGCTTCCTCACCCCGGAGCAATTCTGCAGTGCATTCTACATGGTTCTTCAGAGGGTCCCCAGCGGGGTTGAGCCCCTGTTGCCCACAGTGATAACCTGCTCATTAGCTTGCTCTTATTGGCTGTCTTCCCCTCCCCATCTCCCTTCTGTAGCCCCTCACTGTGCTTCCTGAGATCATCTCTTCAAAAAACAGCTTACACCCAAATCCTTGGGTCAGGGTCTGCAACCTAAACCCACAGGAGCCCCACCAGCCCACCACTCCCACAGCATTCTCCTTGCCCCAACCTAGGGTGCCAGCCTAACCACACAGAGATCAAACTTTTACTGATTCACTGGTGCTAGGGACTAAAAAAGAAGCCTTACAGCCAGACCCGGGAGAATTCACACTACATGATTCCATTTCTATTACGCTCAAAACCAGGCACAGTAATTAATGCTGTTCCAAGTCACACAAGTGGTGCCTCTTGGAGGGAAGAGGATAGTGACACAGGGAGGAGCGGTGACTTTGGGGGGCTAGACGTACAGTAGCCCCCCTTATCTGTGGGTTTGCTTTCAGTGATTTCAGTTACCCATGGTCAACCACAGTCCAGAAGCAGATGATCCTCCTGCTGACCTAGCTTCGGAAGGTCAGTAGTAGCCTAATGCTACGTCATTCAGCTCGCTTCATCTCATCACGTAGGCATTTTATCATCTCCCATCATCGCAAGAAGGGTGAGTATAGTACGATAAGGTATTTTGAGAGAGAGAGAGACAATGTTCACTTAACTTCTATTACAGTATATCTCTGTAAGTGTTCTATTTTATTATCAGTTCTTGTTGTTAATCTCTTACTGTTCCTACTATATAAATTAAACTTTATCAGGTATATATATATATGATATATAAGGTTTGGTACTACCTGTGGTTTCAGACATCCACTGAGGTCTTGGAATGTATCCCCATGAATAAGGGGGACTGCTGTATTCTGGTTTTTTATCTCGGTGCTAGTTATATGGGTGTGTTCACTTTGTAAAAATTCCTTAAACGCGTCAAACTCTACACTTATGATTTGTGTGCCCTTCTGGATGCATGCTACATTTAAATGAAAAATCCACTTGAGAAAAGGTAATTTAGAAGGAAAAAAGGAACTTCTAAGTATGCCAGTCCACTCTCTCAGGTGGAGGACACTCTTCCCAGGCCGGGCAAACAGCTCCTGGCCAGCACTCTCAGAACACAACGGTGGGATAAGGGCTATACAAGAAATCTGAATACACAGGATCGGAGAAGGGCCCTGTGTGAGGACTGAAGAGCTGGGATCTCCATCCGGAGGGAAGAGTGGACACTGTCCTATTCCACCAAGATGCCAGAGGGAACCCCAAACTCTGAAAGGACTTGAGGATCAGGAGACAATCTATCGTAAATTCTATGAGGCTGTAGAGAGAATGGGTCATGAGTAGGATGGGGCTGAATGGTTAGGACGGGATGGGTTTACCTGAGATGAAATGGGATAGGACAGGACAGGATGGGGATTTGAAGATGGGACCCAGATTGTAAGGAGCTTACATGAAGTCCATCAAGATGAGGAGTTTGGATTTCATCTCACCCAGAGTTGGAGAATTTTCAGAAGGGAAATGGCATCCTTAGAATTATCCTCAAAAGATCCCTCTTTTGAGGTGTGGAACTGTGGGCCTCAAGGGGAAGCCTAGAGGCCAGATGTGTCTAAATTAAAACAAATGATGCCTTAACCAGTCAGAAGGGCTGGAAGAGAGGCCAATGGGCACCCCTAGGATCCTCTGTGAATTGAGCTGGTAAGGACCCAGATCCATGCTTCATAGGTCTGGAAACTGAGGAAGGACCAAGGGGAGGAAGACACTTGCCAGCCTCACATAGGAGCCGAGCATTTCCTTCTCTTCGAGCTCTCAGGAGCTCATTCTGAGACTGGCTTACATCCCAACAAAGGAGCAAAAGACACCACCAGTGAGACCACAAGAATCCATTCCAGCAGTCAGCCAGATGATGGCTGAACTATGCCCCGGGGAGCCTTGTGTCAGACTTCACAACTCTGAGGACACTTCCAGCCAGTGATGTGTCTTGAGGGGCCCTAGAACTTAGGCCATTACCACATCATACAGAGGCGAAAACAGCGTCAGCAAAGGGCCTTGCCTGGCCCAAGGTGACTCAGGGGGCTGGTGGCACACCCAGGAGGTGAGCCCAGGTGCACTGGCCTCAGACGCCCCAACCTGCCGTCTTTCCAGAAATACCACACTGCTCCATGCTCCCGATGTGGTTCTCTGGTGGCCAAGGGGCAGGAGCTCCGTGGGCCAGAACCGTAAAAGCAAGCACGAGGCCCACGCCCCCTCCCCTTCCTCACCTGTATGCGTGCGGACGTGCCTCTTCAGGTCGAAGGTGTCATTGAAGCCCTTGCCACAGAAGGTGCACAGGTGCCTCTTCACCTGGTTGTGGCACTTGAGGTGGCGGTTGAGCATGCGCTGCAGGCGGAAGGCCTTGCCGCACAGCTCACAGCTGTGGGCCGCGGGGTCGCTGCACGTGCCTGTGGTGAACTGGGACAGAGGGGGTGTGTGTGAGGGCCCTGGGGCAGGCGGGCGCAGCTGGTGGGCTCAGCCCGGGGGGCACACCTCCCTGTGTGTCTCCAGGCTTGGCCAGGCTGGGGCTCCTGACCCCTGCAACTTCCAAGCGGGTTTGGGAAGGAAATGGCTGGAAGCTCCTCCCCGCGTTCATTCCCCCCCTCCTTCCTCAGAACAGACTTCTGATTTCTGGGCACAACGTCCCCCAGTTGAACATCTATAGCAAGTCACGGTGGCGGGACTAGTGGGCCAACGGCATATACCCCTTCTGTGGGGGGAGGGGGAGCCCTCTTCCTCCTTTGCTCCTTCCTGCTGGCCAGAACTCCAACAGCCACCCTACACCATCGAGGGGAAGCCAGTGCTGAGGATGGGAGAGCAGAAAGAAAGGAGTCCAGGTCCCGATGAGGTACAGAGTCCCCGAAGACAGACACAGCCGATTCCTTCCTCCCTGTGCCTGCACACTGCTCCATCCATCAGGAGATTAGAAACCCTTTCCTCTCCCCTGGGATCTGGGCAGGGCCTGTGTAAGTTCTAGGTCTTAAGACACTTTGCAGCTGGGGCGCCTGGGTGGCTCAGTCAGTTGAGCGTCCGACTCTTGATTTTGGCTCAGGGTCGTGAGATCGAGACCCACTCGTTGGGGCTCTGTGCTGAGCAAGCATGGAGCCTCCTTGGGATTCTCTCTCTCCCTCTCTCTCTACCCCCCCCACCAACGTGTGCGCTCTCTAAACAAACAAACAAACAAACAAACAAACAAAAACAAGAGGGAGAGAGACTATGCAGCTTCTACATGTTCCCTTTTGGAAGCCAGCTGCCATGTAAGACATCCAAGACCACCATGCCACGAGGAAGCCCAAGCAGCCATGTGGAGGGCAAGGCCACTGGGAGAGGCACTGAGGTGCCAGATAAAGCCTCACTGGGCCTCCCAGCCCAGCCCATGGCTGCCATCAGTTAAGTGACTCTGGCCAATGCCACCCAGGGTACAGCTACCTTGCTGGGCCATGCTCTAGCTCCTGACCCACCAAAGTATGAACTCCTAAAATGATCATTTTGGGAAGTGACTTGGTCAGAATCCCACAGCTTCATTCTCAGCAAAATAACCAAACCCCAGGCCCTGGGCTTCCAGTCCCATGGGCCCTCAACCATGTTTGCCGCCTCTAAGGCAGAAACTTGAATCTATAATTAAATGGTGAAAAACACCAGAGCTGATATATTCATCAAAGTTTTCCTAGCTACCAAACCAAATCGAAGCTTGAGCCAATTGCTCTGCCATTTGTAAAAGGGCCTAATAACCTGATTTTCATAGGAACATCATTAACAGGAAGAGTTGATCCTTGCCTGGCTCAACACCTCCATAGCCTCCAACACCCTTCCGCCTCCCCCCGCCCTCGGTATTGCCCTCCACTAAGTCCCAGCTCCAGTGCTCCCTCCCTGATGCAGCTTCTCCAATTACTGCAGCTTCTGCCCAAACTGTTTTCTGTAGCCCTAAGACCAGGGCCCTCAAGCCCCAGTGTGCACACAAGTTCCCCGGGGGTCTGATTCAGCAGGTGTGGTGGAGTCTAGATGCTGCATTTCTAGTCAGCTCCCAGGAGATGCCACTGTGGCATGGATTGTACTGGACACATGAGGCTAGGGTATGGCCCTCACACAGTTCAGTACACTATTCCACTCGTTCCAGAGGGTTCCATCATGCACAGATGTTTCCTCAGTGTTCACCTTGTTTCCTCAAGTAAACGCCTTTGCAGAAGTCAGCAAGTGTTTGTGCACATTCCTGCCCCCCACCCCCAAGCTCAGACTCAGGCCAGGGCACCAAAAGTGTTGATGGGCAGTGGCTCACAGTGGCAAAATACAAAGAGACGTGGGGAAGGCACAAGACCCCAGAGCACAGTTTTTTGGTCGGCCTCCTCGTCTGTTTGCAGCTGAATTTGCCTCAGCCGACATACGGAGTGCCCGGTCTGCAACAGGCCCTGTACTCAGAGCTGGAGGCAGCACAGTCACCAGGATGGCTTGTCCCCAAGAAGCTGCCAGTCTAGTGGGGAAGCAAACCCATCAAAAGGCCACTGGTATCTGGGAAGCTCCGGGAGCAATGGACACCTTGGAGAGGCACCTACCCCAGACGTAGAGTATGAGGGAAGGTGCTTCCAAGGAAGTGAGCTCACTCCTCAGCCAGGCAAAGATGAGGAGGAAGAGAAGGGCAACCGCAATGAATATTTCAGAAGTGGGCAATGGGCAACAGGGAGACTGCGTGTGGTTCCACATGGCTAGCCTGAACCCAAGAGAGCAGTTAATGAAAAGAGCTGAAGTAGCAGGGCAGGGCAGCGTCCTCCTTGGGGCTCTACCTTGGGGCCCTAAAGAAACTCAGTTCTATTCAAAAGGCAGAGGGGCCACTGGAAGGCACACAGGAGGATGGCCTCAGGGGTTGGGTTGTTGACCCAGTGGGTTGCCACCCTGGGCCTCCAACTGCTCAAAGCCCACCTCTGTGTCCTCCAAAGGGGTAGGGCTTGGTCCTCGTCCTGAGGGAGACCCAGCTGAGCCCAGGACTTCCTTATTTCTGTCACCAGGATGGGGCAGGTCTTTTCTCCTTGCCTGGAAGTCCCCATTCTGGGCATCGCAGCCCTTGAAGGGATGTAAAAAGACTAAATATGACCCGGGGTGCCTGGGTGGCTCAGGTCATATTCCAGGGTCCTGGGATCAAGTCCCGAGTCGGGCTCCATACTCAGCGGGGAACCTGCTTCTCCCTCTCCCTCTGCTCCTCGCCACTGCTGGTGCTCTCTCTCTCTCTCGTGCTCTCTGTCTCAAATAGATAAATAAAATCTTAAAGAAAAAAAAAAAAGACAAATATGACCCAAGCCTTGGCAAACCGAATACCTGGAGTTTCTCAAGGCCAAGTCTACACAGGAGAAAGGTCACTGAGAGCTGGTGAATGCCTAATAAAACAGAACACAGACAACTGACCCATGTAGTTTGATTAAGAACATGCAAAATGCTAGAACTCTTCCTGCAGAATGTTCTTAAGGACTTGCCAACTTAAGGTCCAAACCTGAACTCCTGTTTACTTTAAGCCTTTTGATAAATTCCTATTTTTAAAATGCTCTGCATGTAATATGGATACCTTCTATTACAGTCCAGGATGAAAACCTCAAATCACTGGCATTATTTTGTTTGAAAAGAATAAAATCTTGAAGGGTAGAGAGAAAGGAGGTTAGTGACAACTTAAGGGAGTGCAGGGCCAATGGATCATCTGACTAAGATACAGAAAGCCTTTTAACACAGGGGAGAACATGAGGATGGGGGAGGAGAGTGGGGACTAAGCAGTTTTCCTCTGGTTTTCTTGTAACAAAAATAGAAATTCTCCAAGTGTACGTCAACATAGGCAAATTTCCCATTTCTCCATCTTCATATACATCCCCATTCCACAGGATGGCAAACTGAGCCAGCACCAAGGGGCTCATTTAGGGAATCCATGAAGCACTGTTTGCCACCTCTCTCTATCTATGACCAACCCAGCACCCGGATATTAAGGAATTATATTTGAAGGCTTAAAAGGGCCTTGTTGAAAGATGTAAAGTTAATTAAATGGCAAAAGACCATGGCTGATGTAGCCAGTTTCTGCCAGACTATTTCAATCCTCAGAAAGGAAGGACTATTTGTAGGATAAATTCCTAAATGTGAAATTTATCCCAGAGTATACTTCACATGGCAGGTGCCCTGAAATTCTGTCTGTAATGGCAAAAGACCAGGAACTACCTATAAGTCCATCAATAGGGGATTTAAAAAGACGGTAGAACCATATAATTAAAGCATCTAGACAAAGGAAACAGTGTCAGCTGTCAGACACGTGATCCAGCCCAGTTAAGCCCCCAGAAGATTCCAGTCGGCTGCCATTTGACTGCGACCACGAGAGAAACCTCAGGCAAGAACGGCCCAGCTAAGCCCAGTCATTCCACAGAACTAGAATATAGAATAATAAATTAGGCTGCTAGGGGTGCCTGGGTGGCTCAGTCGGTTGGGTGTCTGCCTTCAGCTCAGGTCATGATCCCAGGACATCCTGGGATCGAGCCCCTTGTTGGGCTCCCTGCTCAGCAGGGAGTCTGCTTCTCCCTCTCCCTCTTCCTCTGTCCCTCCCCCCCCAACTCCGTGCTCGCGTTGTGTGCTCTCTCTCTCGCTCAAGTAAATAAAGAAAGTCTTGGGAAAAAAATAAATTAATAAATTAGGCTGCTAAATGTGGGGTTATCTGTGAAAGTGCAATAGGGAACTGGAACAGTAAGAGATGTATCACAATCTCTCCAGAGCACGAGACCTGCCACATTTCCTAATGTTCTCTTCCAGGATGGGCTGCAGGATACAGACAACACATCTGATTCCTGGAATGACATCCCATGGGCCAGAGCACCAGCAATCCCTCCCCAGGTCACTGGGCCATCTTTACAATGTTTACATAGGTTTATACCTAACACCTGACCTCCTAAAAGTTCAAAATAAGGTTAACCAATCATACCTTGTTACTCCACTTTGCAAGTAGTAGACCCAAACTAGTTACATCTTGGCCTTCTTGGTTACAAAATGAACAGACAAGGAATGCTGAGGATCAAATAAAAACCTATACCTTCCATCACCCACTTGTGGGCTATCATTTAATATCCCTGCACCACCATTTCCCACGTGTTAAGTATGATAAAATGGCAGGGCACCTGGCTGGCTCAGTCCGTACAGCATGTGACTCTTGATCTCAGGGTCGTGAGTTTGAGCTCCACATTGGGTGTAGAGATTACTTAAAAAAAAAAAAAAAATGAGGGGCACCTGGGTGGCTCAGCCGGTTAAGCGTCTGCCTTCAGCTCAGGTCATGATCCCGGGGTCCTAGGATTGAGTCCCGTATTGGGCTCCCTGCTCAGTGAGGAGCCTGCTTCTCTCTCTCCCTCTGCCTCTTTCTCGATCTTTCTATCTCAAATAAATAATACAATCTTTAAAAAAAAAATGAT